CTTCATTGATTTATTTGAATAACTAATACACGCACTCAGTGGGTTATTAAGTTCAAAGTCGTAAACTCTACGTTAGCACGTATTGCGTGCCTATTGCACATTTGCGTCAAAACAAGCCGTTTCCATTACTCTATTTGGGCCACGCCCAAATAATAAGCGAACAACAATGATCTCAAAAATCTCACCTCCGTAAAGTTCCGCCTACAGGCTAACAAAGCATTTCTTTCTTAACGTTTCGGAATTACGGTAAAAGTAAACTAAAGACTAAAATCTTTTTTCTTTTCTTTTCTCGGGAGAATGAAGTTGAGCACACAAAAAAGTCGAATAATTTTTCAGCAGGAAAAGTTTGTGGATTACTAAGATCGTGAAAACGTATTCTGGGCCGCTTGGGTGAGAATAAGAACAAAAGTCGTTTAATCTTAGAAAAAGGTATGGGTTATATTCAAAGATCGCACCTTTGAATGTAAGACGCGCAATTTAAATAATAAGCTTGTTTTAATAACGGTTTAAGAACGTTCTCTGTAAAGTATTTCTGAAATCATTTTTTTTTGTTCAGAGCGCTTATTATAAAAGCACGATCCGATCAAAAGCATCGCGTCAAGGCAAAAAAAAAACTCTCTCCTCCTCTAGTATTAGAAATTTGTCGCCCGAAGATTAAACGATCAGTTCTTTTAACTAGCAAAATACTAAAAGAATAAAACACTAACAGGAACAAATTGCTCTTTGTTTTGATATTTTAGCTTAAGCGCAGTTCATAATAAGGAAAGAAATTGATGCGAAAGAGGCAGAAAATAACTTTCCGTTGCTGTAGAAGCTCCATAAATATGGAGCATAATAAACAACAACATCAGTGTTCTCATGATTTCGGTAGGTCACAATTAAAAAAGAACCTCGTCTGGATTAAATGGACATGTAAAGATCTATTAAAACAATCCAGGAAGCATAGGAAACAAAAAAATGGAATCTGGTGAAGACTGCGCCTAGAGTAGTTGTTGAAGTCCTCAAAAATAGAATGTGTTAAGCTAAAGTCGGTCTCATGGCTGTTGCTTGCCAAATAGCATCGTCATGTTCAGAATATTCACTTCAAGATTATTTAACAATTAATTAATGAGGCTGAGTATCTTATGAAGAATTATTGAGATCTCGGAGGGTGTTAGCTGCCTCGGCCTACGGCCGCGACGGATAACACCCTCCTCGATCTCCATAATTCTTCATATGATACGAAAGCCGAATTCAATGATTGTTTTATTATTCATTCAAAATAATTCCTAGTTTAAAAACAAAGCTAAAACATGCTTCCCTCCATCGATGTTAAGTTCACCTTCGATAGTGCACGTTTAGGGTTTTTCAGCTCCGCAAATGTTCTCCAAATAGCAGATGTCGCCCTTCGAGTTGTGTTCTTGCTGTTCTTGCCATATTTTTCGCTATAATCTCGCCTAGTTCTTACTTTTGAAACGAGTGAAATGTCCGCCATTTTTTGTTTTCACAACTAAAATAACTCAACCTCGTCCCCAGGTTTTCTCGGTTAAAGGCGCCTTAACCTGCGAGAACGCTGCATTTTTGACGTCATTTCCTCGTTAAACACAAAATTCTTCCAAATTTGGTGATCAGTAACTGGTTATGGTGAATTAGTGTATACACACACTCAGTGATCTTGGTAATTCAAGCAATCTGATTTGTTAGCTATCTCGGACTATGACGTTATATTCACCGCACTAGGTGTGAACTGGGTGTTTTGCCAAAGTTTCATAGTAAAGCCTTTTTGAAAATACACGAACATCCAAGTGCTGATGACTTTGAAGGCAAGAAAAGACTTCAAAGTCGTAACTGACGTTTTGTACGCTCGAAGCTATGTTTACCACTACAGAGGAAAACGAGGTCGCTTTGTCACTGTTTTGTGATTTCGGGATTTTCTCGCAAGACCAATTTTGCCAATAAATAGAAGTTAATTTATGGAGAAAAGAGGAAGGCAAATATTTTCGAAAATTGTACGCGCCAGCAAGTTAACAAGGCAAAGAACTTTGGAGATAAACAACACTCACCTTGATCGTAGCCGCTGTTGACAGCATTTGCAAGAAGCAGCAAAGAAAACTTTCTCATTCACGGTGAGTTGACAGAAACAAATAAAGCTCTACTTTTCTTCTCAGAATTGGGTAGTAATTTAAATTTTCGGCGTTTTCTTTTAAACCGTTGATGCTAAAGCCTACAAAACTCGATACAAAAAGATTAAAACTACATTTGCCATGTTTGAAGATACTGTAAAGATCTAACTTTTGCGCATCCGTAGTTTACGGCTTCAAGTTCACGCATGAATTCACCCGTCAATCAAAATGGTTTCCTTTCTGATTCTGTCGAGATCACTTCGTGTGAATATACTAAAACAATTATTCACCTCAGGCTCAGTTAATATTGTTGAATAATCCCCTCGACTTCCTCTCGGGGATTATTCAACAATATTAACTTCGCCTTCGGCGAATAATTGTTAATTATGCGTGTGCTTTTGGCCAATCAGAATCGGGGAAATATTTTGAACGAATAATAATGCTTCTTATCGATTACTATCGATTCATATCGATTGTTATCGATTTTGGTAATCGATAAATTATTTTTTTTCTGTGACTTCGATTTCTATCGATTTCCGATATCAATCGATATTAATCGGCGGATTAATTTGACTAATATCGATGATATCGATTGGTTTCCGATATCGATTTTTATCGATTAGTTACGACTGGAATATTTTTAAAACTGTATCCTGTTTTCACTCCGATAAGTAAGGTATTTAAAAACTGTTTCAAGCTTTCCAAAGCCCTTCAATTTTCTATATATTTTAAACGAATTTTAAACTATGTTCAAAATTAATCAATCCAAAAATACATTAAAAATACACTTTTTCCCCTTGTCATTTAAAAGCTATTTGACAAAACAGGTTCAAAACAGTTTTCAAAAACAGTTCATAAATACATTAAAAATAGTGTTGGATTTTTATATAATGACCTTTAAATTTCAAGTGTTTCACGTAAAAAGACCCCGTTTACAGTTGTCCGTACAAATTTTTAAAAGGACGAATTTTTTTACCTGTGCGCGTGCAATCCGAGCAATCCGAGCAATCCGAGCCGAACAAATTCTGTCACAGATTGCAGGACTGTTTGCTGTCCTAAAGCTTGCTCGCTTCCGCGGGTCCCGTGTAAACGAAAGGCGGCTCAAGGCAAGTTTTTCTCCGGACCAGTGTAAACGGGGTCCAACATTTCATTTGAAATATACGGAAATGATAGCTATTGTACATGTTGTCCATGAAAATATGAGCCGTAGAAGGAGCGTGCAAGGGAGCATCCACTATTTTTCTGGAACCGCACTTCTAAAGGTGAAGCATGGTATGGGAGTGAGCGATGAAGCTGTCACCCCAAACCCAGGCACCGTTATTCATTAGGGGCTGTACAAGAGCATTGTATAACTGGAGGCCGCTCACTCGCGTGTTCTCGCGCGTTTCGCTTCGCCCGCCCAAATAGGAGAGCTTGCTTGCAGGCTAACTTTTAGTCGGTATTGTCAACAGAGAATTCAACAGTCGACACTACAATACAGTCAAATCTCACCTTGCAGACCCACTGCTATAACGGACACCCCGATAATACGGACGGCAGCTAAATCCCAGAAAAAATAAATGACAGACATTTGACTGAAATAAACTTCCGCTATTACGAACTCTCGCTAATGAGGACACTAACTCGAGGTGCCTAACGTGTCCGCTATAATGAGAGTTGACTGTATTCTGCATTCTTTGCTTTATTGCAGTTGCGCATAGACTTGAAGGCGTTTAAAACAATTGATTAAAATGTGCGGACGACTTAGGAATTAGACTCCCTTTAATAGGCCACTTTCGGGTTCCAAAAACCCTCACTTTCAAAATGAGGCTAGGTGCAGATCAAGAACCTTTCTTGTGAACATGAGTTTTATTTGCATGAGAATGAGAAACGATTTCCATATCAAAGGCTGAGCACCTACCCTCGTTTTGAAACAGAGGCCCGGAGGAACTCGAAAATGGCCTATTACAACTCTCAACGTCCTGAAAAATGTGAGTGTGAGAAATTTTTACTTTCTTAATCAACAGTCAAGTAAAAGTGAAAGTGAAACTGTAACTGGCATAGGTAACTTGATCAAGATAATAAAGGCACTTTAAAACAAGGCAAGGTATTGCTTACACATACAAGTATTATCATACAATTACCATCAAGTGACAGAACTTACTTACAGGAATTCGTCTTCAAAGTAAAATTAAAAACTCTCTCAAGTCTATGCAAAAATGAACCTGAGGGTCTCTGGGTTCAAGAATGAAGACAAGAGACCCCCTGTCTCTATGAGAACAATGTCAGGAAGGACTGACGTAAAGGACTCAGAAGAAGAACTTAGAAAAGAATCATGGCTTCCATTGACGATGTGGAACGGTGAAACCTATCTAAATTTTAAGGAGCCGTTTTCATATAAATTGATTAATTTCTGGAAAAGAGCTAAGTTGCTCCAACTTTGCTCCCCAAACAAAAAGGGGACTGATTAAATCCTCTACTAAACCCCCCAGGGGCCTTATTTCAAAAACGTTTGGGGAAGACGGTTAATAGAGAAGGAGGCTTATTTGAGAGGTGGGGTTGGGAGGGGGCTTGCTTATTTATTTTGTGAAATGGTGGTATCAGTTATCCATACAGAACTAGAATGGAAGTGGAAAAGCTCAAGTACAAGAAGTTGGAGGTCATGCAGCCAAGGATCAAAAACAAATCTGATCTAAAACATACAGGATCAGTGCAAATGAAGTTTTACAGTCGTGATTGATCAATACAGTCTATCATTAATTTATAAGTGAAGAATAATAAGGGGGAGGGGAGGGAAGCTTAAAAGAGAAGAGGGCTTATTAACTTTATTCCCCTAAAAAAGGGGGGAGGGCTTATTAGAGGGAGGCTTATTTGAGATAGGGGCCTTAAAAGAGGATTTACGGGATAAATGATTGTTATTCACTTACCACCAGTAGGCTGAGTTCGCACTCTGCCAATTACAGATGCACTAAATGGACCTTGGCCAGCCGTTGTAACCGCACATACTCTGATACTGTAATTTGCTCCCTTGCTCAATCCATTAATTGTCTTATGAAGAATATCACCTGGAACCTCAATGGTTTTTCTTGGCGACTGTCCAGCATCAATGTGTGTACAAGTGATTATGTATTTAGTTATGATGCCATTTATATAATTAGTTGGTGGAGGTTGCCACTTGACCTCGAGACTCTGTTAAGAGTATAACAAAACAACAATATAATAATAAAAAAATAATAATAATAATGGAAACTTTATTTGTGTTTTTGAATGTGCAATTGTAAATCTCGCTACGTATAGGCAATTTACAAATGCTGCTTGAGATTGGAAAAAAAAAAACAAAAACAAAAACAAAAACAAAACAAAAGCCAAAAAAAAAAAAAATTAAAATTGCAATAAGTCTGGGCTATCCCAGTTCCTGTTTCTACAACAAAAGGTGTAATATGTTGCTCTAATGGCTATATTTATCATTTTCTTGATTATATAACGTTGCTGCTTTTTTTTTTAATAATAACTACAACTTTTCAAAAGAAAAAATACCCATCTTTGTTACATATACAGTGTAGATTTTTACATCTATTGCTGACATTCCAATGTAAATAATATCTCTACCTTTCTTTATCTATATAACAAGGCTAACTTGTATTTTAAAACTAAAGGGTTGCTATAAAGAGTTTTTGAAATGCATACTAATCTTAGGTTTATAACAGGTTTAATTTATTTCCTGAGATGATAACCAGAACGTTTTTTCACGTTTGACATTAAAAACGAGAATGGATGTTGGTTCTCTGTGATACTGTTCTAACACATAAATGACCCAGAGTATCAAATAAAAAGAGTCCAGCAAGGATGTCGCAAGTTGCCAAGTATGCAATTAGTAAGCAAGGAATCAAACAGCTAGAAATTACTTTTCGTTCTATTTTCTCTTTGTTTCCTACGACAACAACAACACCAAAAGCTTTATTTGCATGACCATAAAGGAATTGCAGTATTGCAAAAGCTATTAGTCTAAATTTAAGTACTAATTCAACTAATAATTATTAGTACGTGCAAAACATTACAAAACGTTACAGTTCTCATTCATTCATTCATTGATATTAATTTGGTTCTTAATTCAAAGCATTGCAAGACAAATGAAACTAATTGACAGTTACGAAAGTAGCCAGGGGTCAAGCACATAGCAGCCAGAGGAAATCTCAGGCTTCCAGCTCTTAAACCCTGTGACCCATTTCTCCAAAGTCCCAATAATATTATTAGGGACCTTAAGATGCGAGGACGGCGACAGCAGCAAAAACGTTGCCTAAAAAGTGAGTTTACGTTTCTTCAGACTCAGTCGCAATTATTCCAAATCACTTACTTTGTAAAAGTAACTTAAGATAGACAAATAAAATTTTGTTGTTGCTTGTTTACGCCCTCCATAAAACATGAAATTAGCCATTTTCACGTTGTACTCATGCAGTGATGACAAAGAAATGTACAAAAAACCGTGATGCAAGAGCAAATTTGTTGTTTTGCTGATCAAACCTATTGCTTTTTCTTGACGTTCTTGTTACAGTCACTGTTGTAGGGTCTTAAGGTCCTTATTACTGGACCAGAGAGCTGTTGTTGCTTACACTTGAGAAAGAGGTTTTGATAGTTTGGCTGATAACAAGTTACAACAATCAAAATTGACTGGTTTGTTGGCTGGAATAAGGGCTTGTATTCTTTAAAGATTGATTTAACATTTGTTTTCCAGCACCAAAAATGTTACCAGTACTTTCGAGAAACAGGCCCCTGGTCCTATCACATTAATTATGCAACAAAAAGCATTTGACTCACATCAGGAGTGCTAGTTGTCACCATCACATCAGAGGGAGGTCTGCTGGGTTCTAAATGAAGAAACATTTTCAGAGAAACACATTAACATAAACTTTCAAGATCCAAAACACAACTGAACACCAAAGGTGAGTCGCTCTAGTCACTTTTAGCACAAATTTAGAGAAACTTGATTTTTATCTCACTTCAGGGTCCTCATAATTTACTGGAATGCCCTCCAGCAAGGATACCCTCAAAACTCCCTGGAGGCAGCCCCTAATCTCTTCTAACTGGAGGGATAATTCCCCTACCCTCTCTCTCCACCCCAACACTAGCCCCTTGCAACTCCCTGTCGCTATACTCAGGCTACTTTTCCCATTGGTTCCGCTACTCTAACTCTATTTGACAACCCTGGAAATTGTACATGCCAAGTGGTCCCTCTTGTAGCTCTGATAGACAGTGTCCTTTGCTCTGATGAAGAGTGTAACTCCATTCAAAATCACAGTGAATGACAAGGACACAAGATGAAGATTTGAGTCTGCAGACAAAAGCCTCAAGCAAGGCCATTCAATCGAAAATGTTTCAAAAGTACGTTTGCATGGTTCTGGTTCAGAGAATAATATTTCGATTTGACTTGAATTTTGGTTTGGGAAGCTCTGGGGGAAGAATGACAGGTTTTTCCTAAATGCCAGATTTCACAGATCAGAGCAAAGGTCACTGTGCCAGATATAAATGAACAGGATGAAAACATGTCACCTAGCCCGAATTATCAATTTTATACAGAACAAGCCCTAGGAATTCACGGTAATTATCATTTCTGGCACCATGTTATTACTGTGGTCTTAAAATAACGGAACTGAACAATAGTTTCACAGTGACATTTTCAGCCTTCTGGATCCGTTTAGAGAAATTCACCATTTTTCCACTCAGATTTTTAACCCTTCAAGTTCCAATATTGTCTAACGTCAATTTTCTCCTAACGCTTCCAGCGCCAAGACAAAAATATATGACTTCGAAATATTGAAAACATTTAGGAGGTGGATTCCCATGAATTTTCACCGAACCACAAAATTGTTACAGATAGTTTCCCATGATCTCTGGGCACAAACCAAAAAATTGTTTCCCATTAGATTTGAAATCCTAGAGCCTGCAGGATGTTGTTTTAGAACAAGGAGAAACCATTCCATAAAACAGTAACTTGTAAAATGTACTTGTGATTTGTGAAATGTGACTTATACCGGCCACAACTTCTTATTGTTGGAATTAACTTACTGTCTTGTTTGGTTCGTTGTGTGATTACTTTGGAGTCAAGCCCAATCTTCTTTGTATATGCTCTCACATAGAAACTGTAATTTGTAAATGGTTGCAAGTTGGTAACAATGTTGCTGTATACATCGCTATCGACAGTTTTTTGCTTTTCCTTGTAGCGTGCACCTCCCGGCTTGTTGTAATGCACTGTGTATCCAATGATTTGGTAGCGCCCATTGGGAGGGCTCCAGGTCACCAGAATTGATGAAGGGGAACGTGCCAGAGCAACAACATTAGTTGGGGGCCCGGGCTGGTTATCTGAAATGAAACAGCTAGTGTTAAAACTCTATTTACTACAAAACAAAGGTGGCTAGAATTTTTTGGTAAATTGCAAGGAGTTTGAGTTTTGCAGTATTTGCCATTACAATGTGAGCAAAAGCAAAAGAATCTTGGTGACAGTGAAACTAATAATAAATTCCACCCAAACTGTGGGAATTTGCTATCTAGGTCTTAAGGATTAAAGAAGTCTAGGTGTTCATGTTATTGAGATATCCATCTTACAAAGGTGTCTATTGAGAGAGATTTGACTGTAATTCTAATCTAGCATCAACACTACAGCAGTTACTGTAACAACAATGATAAAAAATATTTAATAGCGGGGCTCCAACGCGCGCGAAGCGCGCGTGGGACAGAGCCCCATACCCATAGAGTATGATCAACCTCTTTTCCGTGGGTTGTCACGTGATTGACCGAGCGTACGTACGTACGTACGGGTCTACGGATTGTACGGGTGGGGTAGGGGAGACTATCAAAAGGAAGGGAGGGGTGTCTCAGGCGTGTCTTGCCAAGTCCACATCTTTTACATTGGACATTCACAATATGGTCAATTGACAGCTGTCAAAACAGGATAGCCACTGACCAGTATCCCATGACCATATCGCGGGCTCATGTGTCAACTCATTGAGGTGACGTGATTTATTTGGAAGCTGTCCGCTGACCAGTTAATTATTTTACTAGATCGCGATCAATGTTCAGTCTCATACTTTCTAGCTAGTTTTAGTCAGGTCTCTTAATGCAAAATATAGGCCGGATCGTTACAGACGTGACAAAAGTGTCAAATTTGGCACAGAGCTTCCTTAACACCTACTGATTAATACTGGAGGGGGTGCCCGTTACAAATGGTCCAAATTACAGATAAAAGGGGGGGTTAACTTTCACCTATAATAGCAGATTGGGTGCCCTGTGGTGAGTACTCTTCTTGTTTGATTTGGCTAAAAAACATTTGTTGCAAATTTTTAAGTTTTTAATTTGGTAATGTTTAGTTGTTGTTACACTATTCAAAATAGTTTTACATGTACATAATACTAACTAGTGCCCAGTCTCCACACGGTAAGTGTGGCCATGTTCATTGTGCGGACTGTGTGGCTATCAGTTTCACTGCTAAGACTTGCCAGTGATAATATCATTACATATCAATTTAAACAGATCACAAAGCCAGCTTTCAAAGATGTCATACGATAACATAAAACGCAAATGTATCACATCCTAAACGACAGAATCGTTAAAGTTTGACATGCCACATGAACGACCTCATGAACTGTAACTGACAACGCGCCCACTTTGTAATTGTGCAGCTAAGATTAGATTATAATTTGCTTCGTTGGTAACCCTGTCCTTGAGATAATGATTAAAACATGTCAACCTCGTCCTCAGGGGGAAAAGAAGGAGCAAGGGTGGCACAGTTGGTTAGTGCGCAGCCTTCCGGGCGAGAGGTCCCGAGTTCGAGCCCGGTGTCAACACCTCCTTATTTCAACTTCTCTTTTTTCTGTGTAGCTTTGACTAGCTTTAAATACCCTTAAAACGGAGAATTAATGGAGAGAGGGGGTAAAAGGAGCGCACCGTTGACCTCAAGTTTATCACTTATTATTACTGTCACGAGTTATTGACGTAAGATATCGTCGCTTTACCTTTTTCTACCTTTTTATTAAGCCCTGGGGACGAGGTTGTAAAACATGCCTTTCCAGGAATTTTTAACACTCTTTATTTTTTGCACATTTGCATTTAAGGTCTCGGTAAAGGAAAACGAGGTGCCCACAGAAAAAAATTCTAGTCGCGCGAGTATTTTCGCTACAAAGGCAAGTTATATATCATATTAAAGCTAAAAGACTAAATTACCTTATAAAAGATTTTATTTCATCGAATTTCAAAAGGCGCTTAAGTTTTTTGCTCTCAAACTCAGAGGTATCGAGTTTACTGCTGAAGCTCCAGCCCTTTCGCGTTGTTAAATATTCGCTTCCTTTTTATTGCGTCTGATTGACAGATAAAAGACCTAAAAAAGGGTTTGAGGAAATTTGCATATGTCTCGTATTAGCGGAATTATTGCATTTCAAACTAAAAAGTCGAATCTCGAGCGCGATTTACGCAAAGAAACTGACATAAAATGAGTTACAAAGGGAAATCGGAAAATTCCTCACACCCTCTTTGAGTCTATATCATTATCCATCATATCTGAAAGTTTCAAAGCTATAGCTTAAAACCTGTCCCGACTGGAGGTCGGAGAATTTTGATTTTTGCGTCTAAAATAGAGTGAGAGAAAATCAGCACTAAAGATTTAGCGCGAGGTCCACGCTTGGCTGGTTAGCTCAGAAAAGGCTCATTTTAAAGAGCACTTTCTGATTTTCTTTTTCTCCCAAAATAACATTTAGGACTCCCTCATGCCAAAAGTCCAAAAAAACCAAAATCGAGCAATGTACCAAAATTTTCATTTACCGAGGCCTTAAAAAGAAGTGTCTGAGGTCCCTGCATGCCTAGACACCTGTAAGCGGCTCATTCACTTCAGAGCCCTTGGACCAGAGTGTTAATGGTAAGTCTATACGATCTTTCAAAAAAAAGGAAGGTCGTCGCGTGCGTTACAATTTACAAACAAACTAACTTCAGAAGAGCTGAAATTTACAGCAACAAGGCCTCTTTTAGCCAACCAATGATGCATCATTTATGAAAATGAATGTAATTTGTTTGATGCAATTAGGCGAATACCCCGTGGTTACGAAATCTTACGATCATGAATTCCTCAAGAGCAATTCAGTTACCAACTTTTCACAAAATAATGCTGTGGAAAATTACATAAAATACCAAAAAAGCAAGGGTCAACAATAATTGTGGCCTGGTCCCTTATAATAATGGAGTGGTCATGATAAAAAAAGCCCATCAGCCCCAACTTTGACCACTCAAACAGATTTTTGACAGATTACATACTGCAAAACTTAGCATTCACTCATGCCTATGTTGCCACACCAGGAGCCTAGAAATCCGCTCCTGGTCACACCTTGTTTTTATTGCTGAATATCATTCTAAAGAGCTTTACGAAATGTTTTGTTAGTAGGGGTGTTTTGAACATGATTGATATTTAGAGATGGTGACAAAAACGAACACAGAAAAAGTCACAAAACGAGACGCATGAAACAACCGCAATCTAATATTCGTTTTACACCGATATAATGGCTTCTTTGGCTGCTATGCTGACATTCTTGAAGATGGCCGGTAGTATCACAGCTCGTCCCGGGTTAGGTATACCGTTTATTACCAGTTTCACGGTTCCTGAGACTTAGGGCCTGTTAACATAAAGGTGGGGGACCCCAGGAAGGTGAGGTAACCTGCTTAGGTGGGGTAAAAAATAACCCTCCTTTACATGCAATCTTACAACCCCGCCATCCTGGGGTGCAGTTTCTCAAGATTATTGAATGGTCGCTAATAAGCATGTAAACAAGAAAAATGCTGGCAAACCACGTCTACGCTCAATTGCTGCTCTTGCTGCAACCTTCAGTGTTGTGGCTTTCTATTGT